CTCCCAGTGGAGGCTGGCTGGAAGCAGGTATCTGGGGTTTATTTGTCTTATATAATTGAAACTTTGTTGCCTTTAGCAGAGGCCACAGCTGGCCAGGGCAGACAGGAAGCTTGGCTTCCACCATTGCTGGAGCAACCAAGCCTCCTGCTTGCTCTAGCTCCGTGGCTGCCGGCCACCATCTTGGTTGGGTTGATTTGCATATAGTTGCTCTGCAGGGCTGGTGGGCCTGGCTTGGGGCATAGCAAAGGTATGGTCAATTTGCATGTTTGCCTTTAGCAGAGGCCACAGCTGGCCAGGGCAGACAGGAAGCTTGGCTTCCACCATTGCTGGAGCAACCAAGCCTCCTGCTTGCTCTAGCTCCGTGGCTGCCGGCCACCATCTTGGTTGGGTTGATTTGCATATAGTTGCTCTGCAGGGCTGGTGGGCCTGGCTTGGGGCATAGCAAAGGTATGGTCAATTTGCATGTTTTTTATTAGATTAGATAATTAAAAATGACATTAATTAGTGCTTGTAAATGTGAATTTTATAATTAAACTTACTGATTTATATATCATAGAAAGTATAAAACAACTCTCTATTAAATAAAGATTTGTTTACATTTGGTAAGTAGGTAGAGCAGCAGACACTAATCTGGACATTTCTAATCAGCATGCAGGGGATTGAGAACAGACTTCCTGGATGAATGATGAAGAGGCTTTATCTAGACAGTGTTATAAAGGAGAACACAATGTATCCTGATCCTTGATGTGGATCCATTTTAATTTTTACCTAGAGAACTAAAATTGGTATCATTTTTTAGAATTATGCTGAGTCACAAAATTTATTAGTCTTTTTGTGTACCTACCATGTTTCAGAAAACATTTCAAGCAAATTAATGTTTATCAGAAATGAGTTACCATAAAAGCCTGTTAAGTGTTATTCCTTAATATACTTACTTACTTTGCTTTAGTGCCTTTAGCGTATATCAAATCCTTGAACATTTACAAAGACATATATAAATGGTTATAGAGATCATACTTTGTTAATAAAATAAATTTGAGAGAATTTGCCCATATTTATGGAAAAGCGTACTCTATAGGGAAACTCAGGGCAGGGTACAAGGATTCTAATCTCAGCTTTGGCAGCATCCAGATTTTTTGTGACCTTGATGGAAGTTTCAGTAAACATCACTAAGTCTTTTATTCCTCACTGGTAAAATGAGAATAAAAATTCTGTCCCTACCTACCTCACAGTGATCTTGTGATAATTAATTGAAGTTAAATATTTGAAAATTTCTGATAAATCTATTTAGATAGATAGATATATAAATGCATATATTTAGTACATATAATCTGTTTTGTTAATATTTTATATTATCTTATTATGAAATACTAAAATCAATAGAAAAAAATCAGAGTAATATAACTGATGCCATGCACCCAATACTTAACTTTAACATACTGTAAAATTTTGGCATTATTTTTATGACATAAAACATTACATATATTAGTTGTACTACATCATAATTCCATTCTCTTCCTTATTTCCCTAGAAATTCCACAGTATCTTATACATTCATGAATGCATAAAATACTGTGGAATTTGAAATTGTAATACTTTGATCATGTTCAATTTAGTCTTCCTACTCAACTTCCACAGTTTTTATACATCCAACAATTTTACTCTAAGAATGAGTATATCCTTTCTGATGGCTTTTAACAGAAGAGCAGACCAATCACATAGATTTCCAGAAACATTATATGTAGGCATTGTCATGAAAACCTAAAGTTAGTCTCTATTTGCCTTGTTTTTGTTCTCTTTCTAATTGTTAGTTGATGCCAAACAAACAAAAAAAGAAGACATTCTTTTAAATGCATTTGCACAGTTACAAAGATAGTTCATTGAAAGTATTCATTTTTCATTTTTCTTTGAGATAAACTAAGAACAAAAACAACTTTATAACTCGATTAAAGTTGCAATTCTGGATGACAAATATGAATATTTACCGCAATGCGAATAAGGTTAATATTTTAAAACAAGGTTGACAGGAGAAAAATGGTCTTAGTTTGCAAAAAGGAAATTTGTTTCTTAAAGTGAAAATTGAGGTCAGTAGGCCATAGCTCTCCTTACTCCTACATGACTGAAATGAATTAAATAATGCAGCAATAAAGCAGTACTGAGCAAACCAATAAGATTATACATGAAAGCTTGAGTAAAATTATATGTTAGAAACATGTATTTTGTATAAGAAAACATAAAATTTTAAATGCATGTCTACTTCATTTTAATTATCTTAGGATAGAAAAACTGAGTCTTATTCTCTTCACTAGGATCTCATGGTCCTTTTTCAGGAAGTAAGGATAATAACCATTGTTTGAACATATTTCAGTCTTGGTTACTGCATTCTGTTTACTTACTGTGATTTCAATGTGACTGGGTTGAATAGTTACATGTAAAGTGAACATCTTTATATGATACTTAAACAATTGTCTGATTCACATAAATTATTTAATAAGAGTGATTTTCATTTCAACTTTTCACTCTTTAGATCCTTTTGTCAAGTTATATAATATAAACATGATCTGACTTGTAATATCCTCAATAGGCTATATTTATTTATGATGGCCCTATTTTTAACACCACAAGGGGCAGAAAATATGTTCTAGCTATGTGAAAATACTAATTTTATCCTGTTACTGTCTCCATACATATATTGGTTCTAAGAACATGGGAAATAAAAACAGCAAAACTGTTACCTGGTGATCTTTACAAGAAAATTCTTTGACGATAAGTGATTACGATATCAGTAAACTGAACTGAAAACAATGTTAAATTTCCAATATGATAGAGCCAATGTACAAGAAGAGATAGAGGTAGTCTGAATATTCCTTTTTCTCTCTTTCTACATTATATATATTTCTCTCTAATAATGACATATTTTGTTGGCATTAATACAAAGTAACATGGATTGCATGCGTTAGTAGAGTTCTTTTAATTATTGTGTAAAAATGATATGTAATTGAAACAAAAAGCATTGTTTCTAGTCCTAATTTTTTTTTTCCTTACGTCCATCCTGTCAAGCTGAAAGCGTGAAAGTTATTTTCTGGTGGTGTGATTAGATTGGGGCTGAACTCTCCAGCTGGCAGGCCTGTCTATGACTGGCGGCGGCTGTCCCCAGTGCTTGTCATTTCCTGACATGCCTGACAGGATGGGGACAGCCGCCCCAGACAGGTTCATTAGATGGTGTTTTCTACAGCTGAGCTAAAAATAAGTAAGTAAGTAAATAAATAAATAAATAAATACATAAATAAATAATCTGTGCCTTGTCAAGGTCCAAGCTGCAGGGGTACTTCTTGTTGGTTTAAACCAGGGCCTTGTTTTGACAAATTTTGCTCTGTGCAGTTTTTAGATTTTCCTGACACATTTTTGTTTCTTTCCCCTTTGACCTACACTTTGTGCACGCCTTTGTTGCTGCTTCAAAATCCTAAGATAATCTTCCCAAGAGAAAAAGAACCGGAGGTATTGAAATATTAAAAGGAAAAACAGTGCAATGCTCTATAAAATAGCATTAGCTCATTTATTGCCATGGTGATCTGCACAGTGGTAGGAAAACAACTTTGAGACTTGTAACAAGCCAATTACAAGAAAGTTAAGAGTTTTTGTAGTGCCAGAAATGTGCCATCTATAGAGAACATAGTATCAGTACCAGCAGTCTACACTCTGAAGTGCATCACTCCTTAGAACTGTCAGAAATGGGCAGTTCTAAATATCTGCATTCTTGGGCTTTTAGGAAGCTGATAGAGTTTTCCACCTGCATTTATAGGCTTTGATGTCAGGAAGAAAAATTATAGAAGAATATAGAATACATACTAATTAAAACCAGATATAAATTTCAAAATCAAATTTAGGGAAATATGTTTCTTAGTCAACTGACCCCTTTTAAAGTTAACTGGATTTGCTAAAAATTGGTGTGCAATTGAGACATACATGCATACAGAGTCATGATTTATCATTTTCAAGCCCAAATTTAAACTTCTAAAGCTGTGCTATTGAAAAGAAAAATAAAATCTTTATCCAAGAGATTATTCTTTCTTTAGTTAGAGACTTGCTAGCTATAGTCTACGTTCATAGTCTGTGATAGCTGTTCTCCAGTGAGAGAAACATTTGGTCTTAATTTTTACTAAGTAGATCATGCCCAGATAGAAAGCATTTGACCATATATGTTGACAGAATCTTAGTGCAACTGTTGGCTATCTTTTCATTTGCATGCAAGATACAAATGTAATACTATTTGCATCTCTTCTACTTGTCATTGGTGTAATAAACAGTGTTGCTGAAAAAAAAAGCAAGGTCCTCATTCACAGAAATCTTAGCCCTTACCTTTTCTTTGTATTGTTAGCTTCTGCCGTTCACCGTCTCTATGACAACTGTATAAATTGGGATGGGCAACTGTCATCTGGAGTATTACTGAGGGAAAAGTGTTAGCGAGCACACAGTTCCCATAGATGGAGCATTTCAATATAATCCAATTTTAATTGAGCTCCAGAGACTTTGATGTGCTACAGAAGGTTGGGCAAGAGCTATTCCAGGGAGAAATTAAAGCAGCCCAGCAAGACTTCTCTACTTCAGACTGTCACCATTTTAAGTAAGCATTAGCATCAGACTTAACCTGCCCCTGTGGAACATCTCACTTCTTTTTTCAGCTTTTCACTGATTTATTTTGCTATATATAAAAGCAAAGCACTTTCATCTTTTTAATATATGTTTTTACACCCATTTGATTAGGCTTGCAAAGCTTGTACTGGACCTGCGATCCATCTAATGCTGTCTATTGGACTTGGCTTTGGCAGTTCACAAAAGAAAAGGAAAGTAGAGTGGGTATTAGTTTTAAGTTGTCAGTTATCATATATTTAACTTCCTTTTCAATATCACTTTGTAAAACCATATTTGGAGCTAAAAAGTCAAAGGATGTGGAATTTTTATCTAGCTTTGAGTTATCCTTGAATTTAATTTTAATGCTTGGCTGCTTAGGCATTTATTAGAGGCTGGGATTTTTATTTCAAAATGCATTAAAGTATCTTTTCCTCATCACAGGAAAAAAAATACCTTTAGGCAAAGCTAGTTTAGAGCAACTGGACACAGGCACATCAGTCCTTAATGGTGAAAGCATTAAACTTCTTTTTTTTTTTTTAATGAGAAGGGAAGTGGATATTTTTTCATGTATATTCAAAGATCTTTTAAATGCTTTGAAATATAATGTTGAACATACATAGGTATTTCAGTAATCATAAAAATGACTAAAGATCACAATGTTAATTAAAATAATTAAATGAATACTAAATATAATGCTTGTATTATCAGAAAATTTGTTATAAGTATGGTAAACTTAATGAAGTTACTACCTGTTCATGATATACCTGAGATTTCTGATCTGTATTGGCACATTTCAAAAAATAAATTTAAAATACATGTTGAGAAATTAAGTATAATTTTGACAGTAATTAGAAATTAGTTTCCTGTATATATCATCCTGAATAGATTTGCTATAGACCTAAGTGAGCTTCGGCATCAGCGCTGCTTGCTTCAAAGGCCCCAAGAGAGATGGACATTGCCAAGAATTGTATAGTGGTCTCAGTTTACTCAATGGCCTTTAATGACCTCAGAAGACAAACTCAATTTCTAAGGCTGTAGTAGTTGTTGTGATTTTTCTCATTCTAAACAAGTATTCACTTAACATAGGTAATTTTTATTTGTAACTTTGTATTATTTTTCTTTTTAAAAGGCACCCCAAATAATGTAAACTTATTCTACACTTTATTTAATTACTTTATTGAATATCCAACCCCCTAATGATGGGCATTATTTTTCATTTTTTTGTTGTTATAAACAATGCTGCAATGAATAATCTGGTACATGCTTCATGTTGCTTTTCTGAGTGTATATTCACAGGATAAATTCCTAAAAATGAAATTGTTGGGTCAAAGGGTATATATTTGAAATTTGGATAAATAATACAAAAATCTCCGCAATATAAGTTATACTAATGTATACTCCCACCAAAAATATGGTATAGTTCTTACTCACAGCAAACTCAGTATTACTCATTAAACTTTTAGATTTTTGCCAGTCTTATAAATAAAAATTGTATCTCCGCATAGTTTTAATTCTGCTATATATGAGGTTAATCATGTTTTCCATCAAGAAAGAACCATTGGCAGTATGTTTTCTGTGATTTACCTGTTTGACTTTTTTTAAGCAAAATTTTCCTGTATTACAATGTCTACAGGAGGATATTATGGACAATAGTACAGTTTTTCTCATGTATATATTTTTGTGAAATAAATATCATAAGACTTATACTATGTATAAAGAAAATTACATATGCATATGTATATCTCCTTTTCTACCTCCTTGCCATCTAGATTAATTTGTTATTCCTCTATGAAATTCCCTCCCAAATTTTAGTGACATTAGTTATGAAGATAAGATTTTTTAAAATTAATTTGCCTACCCAGTAAGAATCTCATCTCTGGTATTAAAAATAAATTAACTGAATGACATTATTCAAAATATAATTAGCTAAATATATTAACACTTTGTAATATATTTACTATATAGAATACTATGACACCTCGCTGGTGTGGCTCAGTGGTTGAGCATTGACCCAGGAACCAAGAGGACACTGGTTCAATTCCTGGTCAAGGTACATGCTTGGGTTGTAGGTTTGATCCCCAGTAGGCAGCTGATTGATGATGTTTCTCTCTCATGGATGCTTCTATCTATCACTCTCCCTTCCTCTCTAAAAATCAATAAAAACATATTTTTTAAAAAAGAATACTATGCCACAAGGGTCACCTTCATTATAAATTAGTTTGCTGTGTGAATGTTTCTAGTGCACATTTTATTTATTTACTTAAAACATGAATATTGGAGGCATATACACTACCTGTGTGCCAAACATTATGCCAAGTACCAGGGAAGACATTCGGTATTAACATGGAGCTAAAACTGAGACTTATAAGTAACCTTTATATCTGGAGAAATAATATTAAGTTTATTTATACAGTATTATTAGTAGAGAACAAAACATTAATAACAAATTAGATATTTTTATTTACTTATATTTTATTCACAAGTTATCATTCCTTTAAAGTAGTCAAGATTGTTTATTGTTGTTAACCCAACTTTCTTGCACAAGTTTATGTTTATATGTGTGACACTGAGCAGAATGATTGCCATATCTGAAGTCTAGACTGAACCTTAATCTTTTTTACAATATTCACTGTCCACCAATAATCCCAAACCCACACTGGTGCAGAGCACCATTCATCTAGTTACTGGACCCAGAAACTCTTGCAACAGCTTTAATTCCAGTAAGTAATTTACTTCAGCATAAAACAAAACAAAACAAAACATACAAGTCCTATTCTATCTCATAAATATATTTACTGTGTTTTCCTTCTTCTTCCTACAACAACTGTCTTAGAGTTCATTCACTTCTATTGGCATAAAGCAGATTTTCAATTTAATATCCTCCCAAATACTTCTCACTGCTTCCAGAGTTGTGGCTATCCTACTTAGAGTGATCTTTCTAAAAGGGAGATTTAATCTTATAATTTTGCTCACTTTAATGGTCTCAGTGGCCTCACTGTCATCATTAGAGCTACCATTCACTGCAAGCTAAGTTTAAAATCAATCACCTGTCTTCAGTGAACTTGTCTGGGCAGCCTCTTGTCAATAGAAAGGTGACCTGTGGTACTTATAGTAGAGATACTTGTTAAATACAGTAACCTATTACAATTTTTTCAACAATCCAGTGGAATATAATAATTATATTAACCAAGAATAAAGGCATGGATAGGAAGTGTGAGCTCTATAAAAGGATCTTTGTCTTGATCACCAATGTATTTCCATCACTATGCACAATTCCTGGAAACCAGTAGGTGTTGACTGAACTTTTGTTTGGTGAACAAATGATATGTGATGCTAACAGCCTTTGCGTAGGGACAGAGCTCATGCTCATGATGCTGAAATGGAACAGATAAATGGTAAATTTTCAGCAAAGTAGTATTTTGTTGCAAATAGCTTTGTAATCAATGAATATAAAGTAAACAAAAGAAACAAAAAATAGCTTTAGGTCATTACAGTATTACAAAAGAAATTTTTAGGGGGTATCTAACACTGAAAATACTATTTTTAATTGCCAACAAAAGTTGGAAGGTCTCTTTTTACTACCCACCCCCAATTACAGAAATTTATGAAAGACATTCATGTACAAGCAAAGGGCACTTACTGAACTGTTTACGTTTAAACTCACTTGCATTTCTTGAAGAGGTGTTAATTATCCTCTAATACAGAAAAATGAGAGAAGTAAAAATATAGGAAATTCAGAATATGAATTGTCTCTAACTGAAGCAGTGAGACTTTTTTTAAAAAAAATCTTTCTATTGATTTCAGAGAGGAAGGGAAAGAAGGGTATAGAAACATCCATGATGAGAGAGAATCGTTGATTGGCATGAAAACTAAATATTGTTACCCAAAATGGAATTTTTTAAAAAATATATATTTTATTGATTTTTTACAGAGAGGAAAGGAGAGGGATAGAGAGTTAGAAACATCGATGAGAGAAACATCGATTAGCTGCTTCCTGCACACCCCCTACTGGGGATATGCCCGCAACCAAGGTACATGCCCTTGACCAGAATCAAACCTAGGACCTTTCAGTCTGCAGGCTGACACTATATCCACTGAGCCAAACCGGTAGGGCAAGAATTGTTTTAAATTAAACTTCAAACATAGCAGACAGAACTTTCAAAGCCATCTAGTAAGTGGTATATAAGAATAGATTCTGGGAAATACCCAGATTTAGTGAAACCTATGTGAGATCCCAAAGCAGAGTTTGGATCAGAAAACAGTGGTCATTGGAAAAGGATCTGGGCTGAGACCACAGGAGGGACTGCCCTTATCACTCCTAATTGAGAGTTTCCCTAAGGTCCTGGTGGGAAAAGGAAGGATTGTGAGTTCATTTACTCAACACATTTATGTAGCAATGCCTTCCTGCCAAGCCAGCCTCTTCACTAGACACTCTATATGTTATTTTACTTCATACAACAACTCTGCAAAGAGGATATGATCATTCTCATTTCATGTAAGTGGAAACTGTACCTCTATTATGCTACGGAATGTCCCCCAAGTAACACAGCTGGAAGTGGTTGATTCAGACTTTAGGCTGTCTGTCATCCTCTAAAGTCCAAGTTCTTTCTACTCCAGCATGGCTTACAGATATATAAAAACTATCAGAGTCCATAAAACTAACTGTTAATAGAGGACATACTTCTCGGGACATGCTGGTAGGATGAGGAAATGTGCCAAGGTAGTACTTATACTGTGGTGGGCAAATGCACATTAATATAAGACTCAATCTGAAGGACTTCTTAAAGTCCTACATGAAGAACTTGAGTTTCATAGTAGAGCTGCTCTTTGGGAGACAGTTATTCTAGATGAGATCTAGCTTTAAGAGGAAGAAGAAAAAAATTCTCGTGAACCCTGAGGCCCAAATTTTCAAGTGAAAATGCACTTTAAAAACTCTGAACTCATATTATATGAAAACCAGAGGCCCGGTGCACAAAATTTGTGCACTCAGCCCAGCCTGTGCGCTCTCGCAGTCTGGGACCCCTTGGGGGATTACCACCTGCTGGCTTAGGCCCGCTCCCTGGGGTATTGGGCCTAAGCTGGCAGTCAGACATCCCTCTGGCAGCCCGGGAGCCCTCAGGGAATGTCCACTTCCCAATGGGGAGCAGACCTAAGCTGGAGTTGGACATCCTTAGTGGTGCTGAGGAGGCGGGAGAGGCTCCCACCACCACCGCTGTACTGGCAGTTGTCAGCCTGGCTTGTGGCTGAGCAGAACTCCTCCTGTGGGAGCACACTGACCACCAGGGGGCAGCTTCTGCATTGAGCATCTGCCCTCTGGTGGTCAGTGTGTGTCATAGTGACCAGTCATTTCCAATCGTTCTGTTGTTAGGGTCAATTTGCATATTACCCTTTTATTATATAGGGGTGCCTGGCCAGCCTGGATGAGGGCTGATGGCTGATGGCTGTTTGCAGGCTGATGGGTCCTGCTGGGTTGCCTGGCCAGTCTGATGGCAGTTTGTAGGCTGGACAAGCCCCCCAGCGGGGACCCTCACCCAATGAGGGTGTGGCCAGCCTGGGGGAGGGGCTGATGGCTGGTTCCAGGCTGGCCACAGCCCCTTCAGGGGGGGGGGTCCTGTTGGGGTGCCTGGCCAGTCTGATGGCAGTTTGTAGGCTGGACAAGCCCCCCAGCGGGAACCCTCACCCAAGGAGGGTGTGGCCAGCCTGGGGGAGGGGCTGATGGCTGGTTCCAGGCTGGCCACAGCCCCTTCAGGGGGGGGGGTCCTGTTGGGGTGCCTGGCCAGTCTGATGGCAGTTTGTAGGCTGGACAAGCCCCCCAGCGGGAACCCTCACCCAAGGAGGGTGTGGCCAGCCTGGGTGAGGGGCTGAGGGCTGTTTTCAGGCTGGCTAAGCTTCCCAGTGGGGACCCTCACCCCATGAGGGCATGGCCATCCTGGGTGAGAGGCTGGTGGCTATTTGCAGGCTGGCCACGGTCCCCAGCCACGCAAGCTCCAGTGGAGGCTGGCTGGAAGCAGGTATCTCGGATTTATTTGTCTTCTGTAATTGAAACTTTGTTGCCATAAGTGGAGGCCACAGCCAGCGCAGGGCAGGTGGGAAGCTTGGCTTCCTCCATCACCTGGGCAACCAAGCCTCCTGCTTGCTCCAGCTCTGTGTCTGCCGGCTGCCATCTTGGTTGGGTTAATTTGCATATAGTCACTCTGATTGTCTGGTGGGCGTGGCTTAGGGCCTAG